CTAGATGGTATTTGAGCTCCCATAAATTTGTATGGTACACCAGAGTGGGGGGAGAGCAGCTTGGAACACTCTAAGCTTTTATAGACATAAAATTTGGGGTTTGGCAGGCATCAGTGTACTTTAAAGATGCTGAGGCTTCAATGAATCTCTCCAGACTCTCCTGTAGTTTCCTGGTACACTGGATTTCTCACCAACAGGAAGGTAACAGTCATGACAACAGGAAAACATTACCTAAAACCTCAGAAGTTTATAAGACTTTTCTATGTAGCAGCAAGAGTTATTCATCTGTTGGTGATGGGCATGAGTCTGATCAAGAAATTAGGAGAATAAGTAGCCTTAAACCTGGACTGGGATAGGGTTTCCTCTTAATGGCAAGCGAGTGGTATTCTGTGCAGGTGAAGTGGGCTTCTTAATACCAAAGACATTCAAGAAAAACTTGCAGCAACTGCAAACAGAAGGTGAGTCCTTAGTATCCCCCCTTCTCCCTCTATTATATGGCACTAAATTTAGAGTGCCGCATGAAAGTCATGTTTTAAGGAAGATAAGTGAAGAATAAGATTCTAGGCTCTGTTAAATGGTTCAACTCTGACCATTGTATGGAAAAACAAATACAAAATATTGCATAAAATAATAAAATTTTGATTTAAAGAAGCTACAGAAGGAAGTGAGGAATGGAACATGTTTGTGTTTTAGAAGCAGCTTGATTCATACATGTGGCTTAAAGTCAGCTTGAGTTTTAAATAGAAAATTGTCCTGGGAAATGTTCAAGTCTTGGCACGGGCAGATAAATCATAAAAATGTGTCTGAAAGTGTAAGAGAACTGTAGTTACAGAATGGAGTTTGCAGGATTTGGCCTGTTCATATCAATGAAATAATTTTCCTGAAAAATAAATGAGTAATGCTATTTGGATCTTATTCACAAATATCAGAAGTTGAAGGGTTCCTTTGAAAGCTCTTTCTGTTGTATTCTTAGCATCCTGAGTGACTTGACTTTCAGATTGCTTGAACTGATTGTGAGCCTATTTGGAAGGGAAGTAGTAATCACAGAAGCACTAATACTGATTATTCTCCAGGGGCAAGAATGCCAAAGCCTGAAAACAAGGCTTGCTCAGAACTTGCTCCAGCCATGGGTGGAGATGGCACTTGTCAGCTCTGTGGTGGTTAGTGGGGCTGCAGAAACTGTCTCCTCTTCAGCCATGCAATGCAAGCTTCTCCATATCCACCTCCAGATCTGAGATCCCCAGTTACCAAAATCTGTGCTGCTTCTCCAGTTGCCTCTCCTACCAGGCTGAAATCACACTGGTGGCTCAGGAGCTGTTGTGGATGGCCTGGTGTCTGCTAGGGAGCAGCATCATTCTCATGTTTGGCCAACACATGCCCTTTGATTAATTAGATCTGCTGGGGAGGTCCCTCTCTGATCCACTTGCTGCTTCTGAGGGTCTGGGTAGCCAGCCAGGACTGATCCAAAAAGCAGCTCTTTTCCTCCAGTAATCTCTGCCACTTCACAGAGCAGCAGGGAGGAAAAGAGAAGCAAGTCTTGGTGTGGGGTCTTTGAGAAAGTATGGGAGATAATTGGTAGCAGTTAGGGCAGGACGAGAGCTGCTGGGCTAGGTGGGACCTGGGATTGCACAAGGAGCTCCATTAATAAGAAACAGAGATAATGGGACAGAAGTAATTGTGGGGCAGCAGATGAGTTGAAAACAGGCATTAGGAGAAGTCAAAAACAACTGTCTCCATGCTTTTGGAAGAGTGAGCTTTGAGAAATGTCATACACATGTTGCAAATGAGAAGGGCAAAGTGAACTCACCTGTGAAAACCCCTCTGTGGTATTCAAGAGTGTCATGATGGTGATCTTAGTGAGGTGACTTTGGGAACAGGATTATTTTAATATTTCTACAGGTATGAGATCTATAGAAAAGTTTAAATAAAACTCTTCCTGCTATTTCAAGTTCTTAGAGGGCAAACATTCAAGAAGGTTATGGCCACATGAATGGGATAAACACTGGTATCCTCTTGTATTAAGGTAAATAACTCTGGAAATTCTACCCAGTTTCTAATCCAGCATTATTTTTTCCCACATCAGTAATATTTTCCTGGGAATCTTTTCCTCTGGTCTTGAGCCTCCCTATCTCAAGCAGCCCATAATCTACCATGACCTAAAAACTTCTTCATTTATGTTCCCTGCTCTAGTTTAAAACTTGTCACAGGATTCACCTGGCTACCAAGAGAAATTACACTTCCTAATTTTTTTTTTGAGAAATAGAAAAGGTGGCTATGTGCATGCAATACCATGTGTTGTTATTCCAGCAGTCGTATCGTTGTCCTTGCTCCCATATCCTGATGTCACACACGATACTGTAATCAAGAATAAAGTGGTATTATGCTACAGTCTATGCTACTGTAGACACAAATGCAAAATGCATTTCTTTGCCATTGAGTAGCAATGTGGCACACTGCAACAACTCCCGAGACAGGTTGCTGTTCCCAGACCTCTGCACACGGGGGCAGAACTGGATCTTCTATGAGAACATGAATTCAATTTACAGCAAGCAAAGCCGCTGCTCTAAGCAGCACTCATCTAATATTTCTCCTTGTAGTTCAGCTATCTGATTGCTGCTTGCATATCTCCAGTCTTTTAAGCATAGATGATATCACAGGCAAGGGTGTCTGGAATAATTTGACTGTCTGGGAGCTGCATACTAACAGCAAAAGGCTGAGGATCTGGCCCTCCACATCCCAATTCTTCCTCAAATCTCAGCTCTGCCTTGCTGCAATAGCTCTGACACAGCCAGCCCCCCAAAATGACGTCTCCAAGTAATTTTCTTTTAAAACATCATTTTATTTTTCTCTGCATCAAGAAAGAACATAGTACCAAACCATTTATCCTGAATGAAGCCTCAGAGAGAAACTGCATTAACAGAAAGGTCTAGACTGGCCTGAGGTATATTTTGGCCAGCAACAAGTAGAACAATACACTAAAACAGAAGCATTGATATAAAATAGAGCAGAACAAAATAACTACATGCAATGTGTTAATCAGGTTGTGGGGTAATTGAATGGCATTTCCCAAATTGACAAACATCTGATAATGACATAAAGTGCCAAGGTACTGCCTGAAGAATTGTACCATAAAATACCTCGACAGGCAGACAACGTTTCCTGCCTTGAATTTCCTGGAGGGAGAGTTATATTAGTAATGGTGAGAGGATTTTGTGTTGTTGTGGCAGGATTTTATTGAGCAGCAACAAAAAAATCATTTCCAATGAGGTGCCCATAAAAGAAGACTGTCTTCCTCTCCATCCTAAGGAGCTGCCCTGCTGGGGCAGGGGTCCTGGGGTGCCGCTGGGGTCCTGCTCTGCCCTCAGTTACGCCTGAGTGATGCTGCATAACTCTGCATCAGGGTGGAGAATCCATACCCCTTCATTTTTACTCAGACTTTTCCCTCAATTGCCTGGTAGATTTTCCTGTTTAGTGGGCATGGCCCCTGGAAGATGCCCTCTGAAGTCATTGGGATCTTGAGTGCGATCAGGACCATCACTCCAAGGCATCACGGCTCCTGAGGGCCATCCTCATCCTGTCTGCTGCTCCCCAGGAAAGAAAATAAATGCTGAAGCTGGTATTCTCTTACCCCTGACTCCCTCGCTCGGTGGAGTGGGACAAGAAGGATCATGAAACCGCTGAGCCACACACCCCCGCCACGACCTCCCAGAGCTTCTATTTGTCTTGGTCCTAAGAAATTGCATCTGGCGCCAAAATGCCTTCCTTCACACAGACCTCCCTCTCACAGGAGGGACATTCCAGCCCCAGGAGGGGTCTTGGCACTAAATGGCTGCAGAGAGTCATGTCTTTTGGAAATAAATTGTCTCCCTTCAGAGAGCTGCTCTCTCCAGTCTCTGCAAAGTGACACATTGTCACTTAAGATCATTAACTATTTGACTGTGAGACTGCTGCCTGTACAGCACACCACACTGCCAGTGCTTCACTGTTAATGAATAATAAATTAACGCAATGACTCTGAGCCCTTCCTTTCATCAGCTGAGATTTCCAGAGGCCGAAGAATCTCAAAGGATTCTCCACAAGCGACAGTCAATGTAATTACCTACAAGCAGCAGCTAAGTGGTGGGTGAGGTGCAGAACCAGGCTGCAGTGGTAACTGCTAGCAGTCCTCTGAACATCAGGTCTGTTAGGACTGGCTGCCCACTGGTTTCCTACAATACCCCACAGCAATGAATGTTGCAAACATGAATGTGAGCAGCCAGGTATCTGCCTGCCCAGAGAAAACATCCTATCCAGTTGCTTTAGGAAGCAGAGTGGATTGCACAAGGGCTTCTCTCACCTAAAGCCGGGTTTCCAGCCCTGCTCACAAGGGGGAGAGATGCAGCTGGGAAACTGCCCTTCTTCACCAGTTCTCTCGTGGGCATGAGAAATTGGGGCATACCAGGAAAATGAAACAGGGATGAGCAGCTGCTGGTGCCAGCAAGACCCTCTGTGCCTCCATGGCTTTTGCAGAGCAGCCACAAAACACCATCTCCCCACCACCCCCCAACCCCCCATTGCAACAATCTTGGGACTGTCTCTAATTATGTCTATGTTCAGGTTTGCTTGGGGCCTCTTTGTGCTGCCAAAGTCTACCAAACAGTGATGCAGGGGTGAGGCAGCAGGTAGCGTGAGGGCAGCGGTTAGGGAGGCAGACAGTTCCTCTTACCCAAGCAGAGTGTCTGTCCAGGATGCCCTTAGTGGAATAAATCAATTGGAGCATTGCATCAGGATGCATCTCCAGACCTAGTTTTCTTTTGGAAAGCTGGATAAAGGCAGATACCCTCAAGATCTACCCATTGCCTTTGGGGCTGGGGTTGATTTCTTTGTAGATCAGAACAATGTATTTCCTCTCCCTGTAATTTGCCTGTTCATATCCACACCCCAGGATTGTTGCAGTGATGTAACCATGCAACATCTTAGGTAAAAGCAGAATGAGACATATTATTAAAGCAAGACATAAATGCTGATGGCTTTTTTTTTTATTAAGCAGAGGTTTCAGGATTCATCAGGAGCTTTCAAGGTTCAGGATAAGGCTTTAGGAGAGTATCTGCCATGGGGAACACAGCCAGGGAGGATTCCTCTTTCTGAGCTGAAGCCTGTCAAGAAGTTAACACTCTTGAAGACCAATCAAGCGAAGAGTTTGATGGCTTTTCCTGTGGAGAAAGAAATCAGCACCTCAGAGACAGAACATCTGGGCTTTTACTCTTTGTCTCTCCCTCTGGTGAAGGATATATGATAGAGGAATTTAAACAAAACAAAAAACTTCTGAACACTATTCCAGCTATTTCATCTTATTACTAAGATTCAAGGACAAGATAAAGACTTAATTTAAAGGAAGAATAAATAGTCTGTAGGTAATAGACTTTGTTTGCTGGCAGAAAGCTCTTCAGCAAATTACTTAAGTGGGAAATGAAGAACCCTATTAAATGTTACCTCTTTATACCTGAAAGAAGGGAATTCCTGGCAAATTCTCCCAATAAAACACTGACCCTTGCTACTAAGAGAACAGATAAATACAAAATAACTCCAACCAGTCTCCAAGACTGATTAGTTTGTTTAATCTAAGTTAGCCATTAGTGAAGAGATTTATTTTCATACATACAGGAATGCATTGCAGAATAAGCATTTATTCCCATATGTTTTTCCATCAGATCCACAGTGTGGGATGTACTCCATAGTACAGATATTTGCGGGTACCACGTAGCTACTGCAGTAGTCCTGTAATTAGATGCAATGTATGTTCACAAAAAAGCTCTGAACAACAGATATGTAAGAAGGGTGACATTAGGAGAACCCCCACACACCCTAAGCTTCCCCCAGGACCAGCCAGCAGAAAATGCTGAGAAAATGCCCTGGGACAGGGCAGGAGTATGGTGGTATGTTGCCTCCAGCAACGTAGAGCCTGTGTAACCATCATAAATGCTGTTGCAGTAACTTTGACAACAACTTGGTCATGAACTGAATACTGCACTACTTGTTGAAACTATCATCAGATGAAAATGGCAATTTCACCCAATAATACCTGTGGCAAATATTGTTCAGACAGCTGGATGACTCAGGATTTTCAAATGCTCCATCACAATGTGATTAGTAAGGATTTATACAGAAACTGCTTTACGGAAAGAAATTATGAAAAATAGAAAGATCTGTCCCTTACCTGCAGTGCATCGATATCTGTAAAAAAAGGGGAAAAAAATGATACAAATGCAATTCTTGGGCTCTGTTAGAGTTAAAAAACCTGTGAATGCATGCCCTGAATATGCAACTTTCAATTTAGTGTTTGTTAACAAATGACTTCTTAGACATAAGGAATTCCAGGCAAAATTTTGTGTCATGTTTTGTGTTTACAACATTGATTTTATAGTATGATTTTTTTAGTGAGGGTTACAGCCAAGATGGAAAAATGTACAAAATTAAAGGAAAAAAAAAATGCATTTTCCATGGTTCAGATGATAGCAGGACATGCCCTCAAAGCTAGTACAAGTACTCAATTTGTACTCAAGCAAGTTATTGAGACAAACAGGTTCATAAAGCTGGCAAGTGCACAGAGGCAGTGTCTTGTATGCATTGCCACAATACCTCTTATTTAAGAGAAGTATTTAGTGAGATGAAACTTTTATAAAGCTTCTACAACTGTTCAGGCTCTCAAATTACATCTCAGTTCAGGATGACTACAAGAAATGTTAGCTTTCATTCAGTAAAATAATTTGTGTTTCTGCAACATTTCAGAGGTTAAATACTGGATGTCTGAGTCTCCGGGTTGTACCACGTACATGTCACTTCTTTCATTATGCATAAACTAGCACTGAGAGTAGAGCTGTTCCCACAGTTGTTCTTACCCACTCAGTTCTGTTGCTAAAATATTACCCCATAAGTGATAGTCTTTGATGTCAAGTCTTTTCAACACTATCTTTCTAGGAGTAAATAAGTCCTTGTAGAATGAAGCTCTTTCCAGTCTGAGGATGTTTCCTGGTTTTAAAGACAGGCAGCGCTTACTCAAAGGCAGAACAGGAGGCAATAAAGCTACTCACCTGGGATGCAGCAAAGGGCTAGAGCAAGAATCAGCAACACACCTGCAGTCTTCATGGTGACTGAAGTACCTACAGGCAGCGGAGACTGTGTTTCGCTCAGTAAATGTAGCCGTAATTCTACCCTCAGGTGGTAACCATGCTTTTATATATGTGCGTGTGTTTATGTGTTTGTGTGCATTCATATTTGGCTTATCCACCCTTATTCTGAAGTAACATTCCTGGTCTTTTGTTGGGGTGGCAATCTTGACAGAGCTAAGCCATGCTGTAAAGCCAGGAAGAATGCTACTTCATCAACAGCAGTCACGGCAAGTTTAGATGTGTTAGATACACCCTCTGTGTCATTATTTCAAGTGAAGTATGTGACAAGTTCCTTCTGAAGTACCATAGAAAATTCCTGTGGGCAAAAGAGCAACCGTACAAACCTAAGCAGCAACCACTGTCAGATTTTCTCTGTTTGCACCTATCAGTGCCTATTTACATGCAGTGCTTTTCCATGAGCAAAACATTGAATGAACCGCTTCCAGAGTGGAAAGTCTCTACTTTTATTTTCATGCTTCATCCCAGTAATGCATCACTAAGTTATAGTGAAACCAGGAAAACCATGAACTGGGAAGCAAGAGGGTGTCCCAGACACTGAAGGGAGTCCTTGGACTGAACAAGAGATGGAGCAACTATCATGGGCACATGCAAAGAATTTACAATTGTTATTTCCCCCAAAAGCCATTAACGTTGTGGGTTAGATTTGTAGTAATGGACTGATAGTCTGATGATGACAGAATGATGTGAGACCCTAGTCTGGATCCTGGAAAAATTGAACCCAATCTGGAAATTGCTGCTTCATCCATCCGCCCATCTCAACATAAATCCTTTGTTTTACCACCAAAGCATCGCTTTTTTGGACAACCTCATTCCATCAAGGAAAACAAGTACCGCCCTCTGTTTGGCTCCTAGAAGAAATGCATATGGGAGATATTCCTTTTTAGAAGGGATATGCTCAATTTGTTTATGTTTCTCTTGTGTAGATCAAAAAAAAAACAACCCACCAATTCAATACTCCAACAGAGGACAAGAGCAAAATAAATTTCACGGACAAGATGCCAATGGTAGGTCACACTCAAAAAACTGAAGGACACTTTGTCCTTGCACTGTGAAACACTGCTGAAGCACTCCTTGGTCTGACAGAGTATTATGCTATTAAAGAGAGAAGACAATTAGGCAGGAGTAAGAACCATCCCTAGGCGGGCGTTTAACAACCTCCAAATGTTTTAAGATAAAGTATGATTTCAAGATGAGAAAAACCTAGAAATAAGTCATTTGGAGGACCTAGACAAATAGGCAGGGCCCACTCATGTGTCTGAAAAATATGGGCTTTGTTAACAGACTGTCCTTGCAGAGTGCTATGCTTCAGGTGAGGACTGTGCTCTGAAGGCCAGGGATCAGCTCTTGGTGCAGACACGTCCACAGTTGGACCAGGTTCTGCTGATGCCTGCACAGTGCACCAGAAATACCTTAGGAGAGATCAGATAGTGTCATCACTTCAGAGCCGTATTTCAGACCTTTACAGTGTCAAACATCTAAGAGGGTCTGAACACTAAACTAATGTAGGCTGCCTACCATTTAAGTACAAAGTCATACAGCTCTGAGGTTTATGCATCTGTATGTGATTTTCTGTCTTCTATGAGAGGGAGGGGAGCGAGACGCAGAACTATGAGCACATAACACATTCAGTCTGGCATCATCATTTAACAAATCAGAAGAAACTGTTTCATAAGACAACACGTGAAACAAGACAAATAAATGTTGCTGATGTAGTTTATTGAGAATGAAAATCAGGAGCGAGCTGAATCCCCCAGAGGGCAAGATAAACTGAGGTGAGATCTTTAGTTGGGATTTGCCAGTGGGGATCCTGTGGTGAATTCTCTCAGCACTGATACTCAGCATTTTCCAAAATGGCTTAAAGTGAGTGTCTCATTGCTGTCCCTGAAAGCAAGGAGAGGAAAAAATGGATTAGACACAGAGTCCTGCCTGCTATAATCTGTCCTTCTGCTTGGCTCCTAGAGAAGGCATCAGATACAATCCTGACACAGAGCCAAAGAACTTGCAGACCGAGAGTCCCATTAGGTATTTGATTATTAAGAGGTGAGTGAAATGATTTAACCCATTCTTAAGACTGAAAATATTTTGGAGGAAACTATAATGAAACTTGAAATTTCATTTTCTCTGCAACATGCAAGAAAAATTCCATTGAGGTTAATGGTCTTTAAACAACTCATACTAACAAACCAGACATAGCTCTTTGTATACTCTAATAAAAAAAAAAAAAAAAAATATTAGCATGATGGCTAGTATTCTCTCCTGCCCCAAATCCCTAATTAACACTGGTCAACAAACATGAAAGTGGCAACTGCAAACTTGTGTCTATAGGAGGCAACTGATAACACAAATGTGATCCATGTTTGTACATACACAACTGCATTGCAGAAGTTACACTTATTGCTGTATGTTTTGTTGTCAGAGCCACAGAGAGGCATGGACTCAAGCGAACAGACAGGTTTAGGGTAGTCACTACAGTCAACCTGGAAAAAAAAATAAAAAAAATCTCATGTGAAGGATATGAAGGAGTCAATAGCAGAAGGGCTTGAACCTCTAGCTACAGCTGCAGTGCTAATGATAATGATCTAACTAAAAGTAATTAACTTCCTTGCACAATCTGATATAAACCAAGGTGTCAGTTTCTCCTATGACAGAAGAATTTAATAATATAAAAATAGATCATAATTTCCTGTTTGAAGAGATGTATATGATAACCTGACCACAGCATCTCTAAGCATCAGCGGTTCACTCAGTGAATGTGCCATGCTCGTGATCACATTGCATGGTGTTCCCAACGTGGCCAGGAAATTAAATGGAAAAACACTGCTGTCTGGAGAAATGTAGGTGCTGATGCCTGTATAAAGGTCCAGTATCTCTCCCATAGTCTTAAAACAGGAAGATCAGCACTTAGCTAGATACTGTGAGAGTGGGATTTTGTTTCTTTGTGCAACGGGTGCTACACTTGCTAAGAAGTATCATAGTGCAAAAAATGTATATGGATTCAGGAAGAGGCTGAGGAATTTCATGGAGGAGAAATCTATCAAGGCTTACTGACTACACAGAAATGGCACCTAGCTGAGGTTTATCACCTGAAAATAGCTGGAGGGTGGAAGAGTAGAAGTCCTATATATACTCACTCTACTCTTACCCTCTCCTACGCAATCCTTATGACCTCTGCGCTAAGAGCAGGCTCTGCATCAAGCCATCATGTGCTTGATGGACCATTGGTCTGACCCCAAAGGCCATGCTCTGTTCTTATTCTCAGTTATGCCCCAATGGATTATTTCCAATACTACTCTTTCACCGATACCTTCCTGAGCAGTCACCCCCTTCCTTTTCTGATGTTAGCACAGATAACGTGCATTACTAGCACAATCTTCCCCATGCTGAAGCACAGGAGCAGTTACACTCCTGTAGCATGCTGCTGCTCTGGGCGCTGCTGCAGACACTGGCAGTGCTTATCCTGACATCAGTGGGACTGAAACCCAGCCCCTCATCATGCAGTTCACTTACTGTAGCAATTTCCTTCTTACATTCACCATCATACTTCTTGCCAACACTGGTTCCAGGCTCTCTGGGAATGGAAAAAAACCTGTGTTAGGGAGCTCTGTGAGCAACCTGTTCTGCTGAACCCCATGTCCCAGCAATGCAGATCAGCCTCAGGTACAACGTATGAGCTACAGGAGACTTCCAGCTTAGGTTGTGTCCTCATGGCTCTAGACACCAGCTCAGGTGGTGACACAGCCTGCCCCAGAGTGCTGTTTTATAGCATGATAAAACAGGGTATAGCATGTTATAGCAGGGTATTAGCGTGAACGAGGAGCTAGGCTGTGTGACAATATAGATGCACCCTAGGTTAGTTACTGTCCTCTGCAAGGCAGCATCTCCCACATAGACCCTTTTAACTTGGGAAAGAGAAGAATTCTCTCCTGTGTTAGATCCCCACCCAGCCCTCTACTTCTCTCTCCACATCAAAGGCACAATTCTCCTTCTAATCACAAAGGAAAACAGGATGTAGCCACCAGGGAAAGAGGAGGGTCAAAGTCCAAGCACCTTAAAGAAAAGGCCTTGGTAGAATTCCTTATATTCAGAAGAACAGCTGCTAGGAGTGCTAAGTACTCGCCCCTCACAGGAGAGATCTGCACACGCAGTACTCACAGGTTATGGGCACACAGCAGGCACTCATTGTCATAGGTGACCCCATCGGTACCACAAACAGGGCTGAGGTCTTTGTTGCAGATCAACATCACTTTGCCTTCCTCGTTTGTTGTATTGGGATATCTACTGCAGTTCACCTGTTGAGGGAACACACAAAGCACTGGTGAAGGCTTACTTATAGGAAACAAGTAGATCTGGTGAGTGTGTCTCTCTGGCCACCTAGGACACCACCACAGCAGGAAAAATGCTTTTTTGTATGTCACTATGATGACAGTTCACTTGAAGATGACCAATGCAAGAATCTGACAGCTCATACATCCTCTTCTTTAGTGTTTGAATTATTTCTAGGGGAATAAGTAAGCAGCTTTGGCCCCTCAGAAGCAGGAAATGCCCCTTGTTTTGCCCTTGGTTTCACTTACAGGGACAAATTCCTTGCATTCTCCATCATGGTATTTGCTGACATTGGTTCCATATTCTCTGGAGAGGGAAAGACAAATATTAAGAAGTTCAGTAAAGACATCTTGCTACATCCTAGGTGCTGGAAATATGTAAGTAATACAAGGGAAACCTGACTTTTTATCAGTCAAGCTTATATATAGAGAGATTTGCAAAAGTAGTACCATCCTCCCTGCCCAGCTAGCACTGAGTGGCTGGCAGGGCTGTAAAGACCCTGAGAGGTTTAGGACCATTTGGGGCAGATCAGAGCAGAGCATCTCTCCATCCTTTTGCTCTGCTTTGTTGTGATGAGATCTGCCCTAGGGGCTGTCATCTGGATGATCCTTGAGCTGGAGAAGAAAAATCTGTATAAATTACACCAGCAAAGGAGAGACATGGTGACTAAAGCAATGTCTAGGCAACAGAGTGCCACACAGTGATATTCAAGCTCATTTTGAAGGAGTTGACACAAGTGACATATGACAGATCACTCTTCATTGAAAAGTGGTGCTGTCAGGAGTCCTAAGCATTGCTGCCTGAGATCTCCTATGCAGTACATACATGTTGTTGGCACAGAGCAGACACTCATTGCTGTAGGTGACTCCATCAGTACCACAGATGGGGCTGAGGATCTTGCTGCAGACCAACACCTCTTTGCCTTCCTCATTTGTAGTGTTGGGATACGTACTGCAGTCCACCTGACAAAGGAGCATGCAGCAACAGGATGGAGAAAACATTTTACATTCACAACTCTAATTTTGCACAAGACAGTGACCAGATACAACCTGCAGTGGGTTTTTCGCTACCACAGCACCAACTTGTGCTGGTGGGTCAATCTAGTAACAGGTGAATCCTTCCTGCAGAGACCTCCCCACACAGCAGGAGAGAAGGAGAAGAGGGCTATAGCCATGCAGTCCCCTCAATGGGGTAAATTAGTGGTGGTCTCATGCTCACTTGGCATCATTTTGCAAAGGCTATTCATTGGTTCCTTATTCTTATATTCTTGTGGCCCTTCCAGTGCACTTCTGTTATTACTCTTTCATGCTCAACACACTAGTCATGTTTTTTTTTTCAGAGGAGCAAGACTAATGACCTCATGTGTGGAAGCTGGAGTGTCTCCTACTATTTTTTTTTTCAGTAGGTTGCCTTTGGGTAGGGTCTGATACCACAGTCTATTGTTATCAGTTTAGAGCCAGTCATATATGACCAGCTTAAAGCTTAGACCAGTTTAAAGTTGGTGAAAAATAGATTAATCCAAAAATTTTGTATCATTACTAGTACTACATTATTAATATACAACATAGATGTAGAGCCAAGAACAGTATCATTTAATGTTTTATACTGTAGAATCTGACTACAATGACATTAATTTCACTTGAGGTGAAAAACAGCTAAGCATCCACAGGCCTGAGATTTTTCTCATTCCTTTGGTTGTCTTTATGTGGCCACATACCTGAGATAAGTGACAGAAAAAAATCTTCCACTCACCTCAACCCCAAAGGTAGCATCTGGAAAAGGGAGGCAGAAAGTGTGAAACAAAGCCAACATGATAAGACTTCAGTTAAAGCTGGAAATCTGGATGTAAAATTCCTATATGCAGGACCAAACTGAATGATTTCCAGCAATTGGTTTCCTGAACAAAATAAACTATGTATGATTTTTTTTTTTTCTATATTGATAAGTAAAATAGCATTGCTTATTGCTGGCTGTGATGAAACATGATTTTGAATAGCTTTATTCTTTTTTATTTTGAGCTAGGTAGACTTATTCATTGAAAATGGAATAGATTTCCTTCCTTATCTTTTTACACATCCATTTTGACCCAAAAAAGCTGTTGTTACATATCTGAAAAAAAACCTGAGTCAATACAGATAAATGCAAATGCAAATAGTCACCTACAGGATAAGCAAATACATACAGCATCTGTTGTCAAGAATATGCATTTTAAAGAAGCCAAGTATGAAAAAAAAGAATTGTCTTTGACTTTGTAATTTCATCAGATGTAAATATGCAGTGAGAACATCAGACACCGGCTGGTTTTCATCTATTTCTCCATTAGCAGCAAAAGTATTGCAGGAAAGTTGCCAGACTCCTACAAAGAACTTGCTTATGCCATTACAATATTTTCATGACTAGTTAATAGAGGTCTGTCCACCTCGTTATGGCCTTGTTTCAAGTATTTATTCATTTGCTGTAATTGTACAAGTGTAAGCAGCATAACAGTGTTAAAAAAACGGTGTAAAAAGTATAACAGCACTAGTTACCAGCATAGATCTCCACTTGCAGTTATTTGTGTTTGACAGACAACCAGATACAACATGGATCCATTTAAGACTGTCTTGAAATTTGCTCTTGCATCCTATGCAATGCCAACGTACCAAGGCAGCCTAGCTCTTTGTAGGAGAAAATTTTCTCTCCTTGAAGCCACTACCTTATCCTTTTAAAGACAGCCAGGAGTCAGACATGAAGCCTCTGCAGCACCTTAAGAGTTACTCACCTGGGAAGCAGCAAAGCACAAAGGAGAGGACCACAAAAGCACCTGGCATGGTCATGGTGAAAATATTTCTTGAGCCTGCAGGCTGACTGCTACTGCTCTGCTGATGAGATGGTCTCCTCAAGGCTGACTGCAAATATATACAAATGCAATGTCTAAATTGTTCAACTGTAACATAAAACAACCAGCAGAATCTGTCAGAAGTACAATGAGGCTGGTAATATTTATTGAGGTCTTGACTTTCAGGTAATGGTCTGCATCAGCTAGGCAATTGATTTTGGCTGGACATCTGGTTAACAGCTTGAGACAAGTATCACATGTTCTCAGTGGCCAAAACCAAACAAACAGTCTTTTAGACAAAAGACACCTCGTTAGGATTCTGATAGAAATGTAAGGAGCATAAAATATTGAGGGGAATAAAGAGCAGGTCCTTCATTTGTCTCTGCAGAGCAACATCTTCCATCAGGGAGCAGCTTAGGCAAAGCACACAGTACTGCCCTGCTTGCAGATCAGGCTAAGTGTCTCTGCTTTCCTTTCTGGTTTTGGGTGGTTTTTCCACATTCCCAGATATTCACCACTAGGTATGTACACAATTCAGGTGTGACTTTGCCATCAGAACTCCTTAAGCTTTGTCAGGTGAGTCTGGCAGAACTGTGTCTAACCTGTGAAGCCAATGGTATTTAGCACTGGTTTGATAAAAGAAAGGAAGGGCTTCTTGACAGTTTCACTGCCTGGGTATAGGAAAGTTCAGCAGAAGACTTAAAAGCCACTAAAAATGTCACTTGAGCCTTATCAGCAGGGAGCACCTATTTACAGACCTAGTCACAGTTAAACATACTGACCAATTCAAAGTGTTCTGCCAAGCCATCTTAAGAACAAAAGACACTGAAGGTTTGGGAACCTATTTACATAGCACCAACTACACTTTAAAGTACAGTAGGTCCTTTCTCCCTGCAGATGTTTTAGAAAATTATATTTAAGGCATAGAGCCTGTCCCAATTTTCCTGTCTGTCTTGCACCTCCAGCCTTTGTACCATCTCCAAATTGCTCCTTTCTAGGAGGGGATCTGGACCTCTGTTGTTTTAGTAAGTGTAATTTTGCAAAAGTGGGCTCTGCCTTTAACTTAAGTTTCTTAGCATGATCCTTTTCACAGGTCCAAAATGGGAAGCACACCTGGTTTTTTTTTTTTGGTCACAGCAGCTAAGCATTGTGCTTAGGATAGACTTCAGCACCATGGTTGATGCAGAGTAAAAGATGCTTTACAGGTGCTTCCTTGAACAAAGCACCACTCATTAATCAAATGAAATTCAGCTGAAATCACTGAAAGTTAGCCCAAACCATTGTGTTGGCGTCTGATACATCACAGTAGCCTAAAGGGTATACATTGATCCTTAAATGTATAAATTGTATAGTGTATGGAATTACCTTTCCTGGGCACTGACATGTTACGAAGGCCACAGTATGACTGTGTGGAGATGTATCTTACATTTTTACCTATTAGAGATAGATTTCTTCACAGGGAGAAACATTAAAATAATTATGCTGCTGGGTTAGTTTCTATAAATTACTGGGAGGATGCATGAATATTTTAGACAGATATGGCACATCTTCAAGATGTATTGCTCTAATGTGCCTTGCGGATGGCATCTCTGGAAGCCAAATACTTCTCCCTGAGCACATACAGAAGCATGCTGAGGCTGCTGTCACATGCCACGTTTGTTGCCTTCATCAGTTCACCTGTACAGTCTCTGCACAGTTGGAGGAAGGTACATCTTTCTGGGTCAAATGTGAATTTTGCCACTGACTTCTCCATCCAGGCAGTGAGACCTCCCTGAATCATCCTCGCCAGCCTTCCCAGCCCCAACCTGGCAGCTTCTGACACGTTGCTTCCTGCCTGGTGCCCGCATGCTGCTGCTCCAGGCTGCTCCCTGCCCCGGATGGTGCTTCTCTTCTAGGCAGGACCAACCTCTCTCCTGATGGGTGGAGAGCACCTTCCTGCCAAAGGCTGGCGTGCGTTGGCCTGTATACACCAGAGAAAAATTTTCCACTGCAACTGCCGGGTTCAGCACTGCGTCTGTCACTTACTGACCCCGAGCAACTCAGATTTCCTTCAACCACCACAACGCTCATCTGACATTCAGCAGACCCATTCTTCCTCTCTCTCACCTACAGACACTTCTAGGGAACTCACATCTGTGACAATTAAGTTCTGACTGGGGAACACCAGTCTCCCCTGAGCAGCTCGGGTACCCCCTCCAGGAAAACCACAAAAGTGACTCCCAGAGTTCACCAGGTTTCAGACTCATACACAGCCTCCAGCCAGCCAGTGTCCACAGCCTCCTCACCTGGGGTTACAGCTCCAGATTATCCTGACTCCGATAACAGCATGGGAAAATTCCACAGCTGGATAAACTCATGTTGTAGGACAGGTTGCTCAGTTCTTAGCTACTCCTGGAAGAACAGTTAGAAAGAGGATTTAGTCTGCAGTCCTGCCACAGATCTCACGCTGTAATCCACTTCATTACAGTATTCTAATCTTCAAAGTCAGATGCAGCATATGGCTAATGACCATTTGGCTAAAGGAAGATCCTCATGTGTGCAGAAGCCAGCATGAGGGCAGCGATCTGCAAGTACGTAAAGGCAGTGCTACACCTTGAGGTACCACATCTCAAGGTATCACGTTATGGTCCTGAGCACCAGAAGGTCTGTGGACTGACACTGGGGCAGGATTTGGTCACTATATAACTCTCTCGCTTACCCAAGGAATTTCTTGTTTTACATTTCTCATTACAGTTTTTGCAAGTATCGATTTCATATTCTCTGGAAGAATCAAAACTGATGTTGGGAAATTTTCTTAGCAGATACACAACTCCTCAGAACAAGTAATACACTGATAAATGAATGACAAACTTTAATACCAATTTCCAAACATTCCTGGGTTTTATCACATTATTTAATTAACAAATATCTGTTGTAAAAGTGAGAAATAACAATAATTAGTTGTAGCTGTTTCATGAAATTGCCACTAATCACTCCAAAATGCCTGCTAAATATAATTCAGACTGCAGTTTCCATCTTTGTCTTTCTCTTGGCTACAGTGTGGCAAATAACTATTTGTACTGAGCCATGCACCTGGAGAAACTGATAGAGAACAAATGGAAGATCTGCCTCTCACCTAGTGCCCAAAGACACCATTTGAACTAAGCAATAAGGCAAATAAAGTCACTGATATGATTAAAACATATCAATATGAAAACATATCCATGTGTTTATGAACATATTAAATACAGTTTGATTCAGGTAATGCCAGTGAATGTTTTCCTGAACTAATAAGACCATGTGCAGAACTTTGTACCCTGCAGATGAAGGCCAACATGGTTTCACATTACTTATGCAATTAATTCAATGTACTTGGACCCACTGCAAGGACAGATGTTGACACATGGGAAAGAGTCCAGCAGAGGCCACCAGACTGGTCAGAGGCTGGGGCACAGGGCATTCAGGATAAGCTGCAGGAGCTGGGCTTTTTCATCTTGGAGAAGAAATGGCCACAGGGGATCACACTGTTACCTGCAGCTCCCTAATGGGGTTATAGAGAAGACAGAGCCAGAGTATTCTCAGATCTGCATGGCAAAAGGATTAAATTCAAACCAAATAGGAGGAATTATTCTTTGCCACCAGGGTGATCAAGCAGTGACACAGGAATCAGAGAGGCCATGCATGTCCTTCCTCAGTGATATTGTAAACCCAGCTGAACTACAAAGGCCTTGAGCACCCTGAGCTGACTTTGGCCTTGTTTTGAGCAGGAATTGGGCTAGAGACCTTTAGAGAGTTCTTCCAACCTGAGTTATTTTATGTATATCGTACTTACATAACGCTCTCTCCTATGGATAGTTTTTAGTAGTGAAGGAACATATTTCTCCATGACCCAGGAGAGCAGCCTCAGAGTTTTCCTACAACCTTTGCTAAAGGGCCACAGGTAAGTGGAACAAAGAGGTCCCAGCATATTTTTGTGGGGGATGACCAGTAACATGTACAACAAAAAGGTATATTGTTAAAAACCACACTAATCTATTCAAATGTGAGGATGCTATTAGTTCTCAATGATTTCAAAGTCTCTTCACTTTTGCAACAGCACAGGCCCCCTGCCATCACAACACTTCCCTAGAAGAGCATCAACATTCAAACCTACAGCAAAGTTATTTGCACCACAGAAAACCAGCTGGCAAAATAGCAGCCACTTCACCACTGTGCTGCAGCCTGGACCAGGCATGGGTCTCAGCAGCAACAGCTCTGAAGACATACCTCCACTTCTCACCTCACCAGCTCCAGCTCTGGGCGGTTTCTGGATGATGAGGACATCTGGTCAGGGCTCCATTACACAGGGCAAGAGTTACTCACATGAAAACAGGAACGTGCTAGAATGAGCAGCAGAAAAAGGAGGCACTGAACAGCAGAACATTTGGCTGGACAACGGCCCAGGCTATCACTCTTTGAAGTGAACATACTGCAGGAAAGGTGGTTTAGAGGTAATACAGGAGATGTTACCCTGCAGCTGGTCAGAGGAAAAGGAAATAATGGGTTTAATCAGTTTCTCTGACACTTCAGTGATCTCCACTGTGCATCACTGAGTGCTGGTTTCATCTTTGCCACAGCCCAGGCAGGAACAATGAGGAAGTGGTTGCAGGGAAGCAGCAGCTGACCTGGGATTGACACTGTTCATGGCTGCCTGGCAGGAGAAAGTCAATCTGGCAACTTCACTGCTAAGGCTTGGAAAGTCTCCTTTAGTAGCTGGAGTCAGAAGAAAATCTTCCAAAGGTAAGAAATAAAAATAGAAAATTCAGTAGATTCTTATCTGTAAGTAGACATTATTTATAGCTCAATGCACAGTTAAAATAGAATGAACAAGCATGTTCTGCCATGAAAGCAAATTACTTTGAGGTTATATAAACCAGGGGTATAGTTGAACACATCTCCAAAGGACAGCAGATGAGGCTTTTTCAAGCTACCAGTCATCTAGCAGCACGCATGTCTTCAGAATAGCACACAGCAGGGGGATTGTGGCTGTGTCCCTCAGATATCAGACAGCTACGCAAGCCACCAGAGTGTCATTGCCAAGAGAGGCTTATAGGCAGAAGTAAGATATTTTAATTGACTAACTAGCAGAGCTAGGAAAAGTAATTCAGTATGGTTGGAATGAGAAATAGCTGCATGTTACTGAGCAGCAAAGAGGAATATGGAGGCCTCAAGGAAAATTACTTGATCCCTAGACAGCTGCCTTCAGGAGCTTGTTTACAGAGGAATAAGCATCCTGAATGCAGCTACAGTATGAAGGCTATGGCAAGGCTGGCTGGGGAGACAGGTTACAGTCTCCCATGAAGCACAGGGATCATCTCTTCACAGTGAGCTGCCAAGTCTCATTAATTTATTATAGGAACATGCTTTCAGTGCTTACTCCCCTCAGTTGTGTTCCCTAAGATTGACAGAAATGTCTATAGACCACAAAGTGTTCTTGACAAGAGGGTAATTAACCTTCAGTGTTTACATCTCCCTCCTCTTGATAAGTAACACACTAAGTCTGTGCATTTTGGGAAGGACTGGCTGTAAACAAGTGATAGTTTCCTTTTATGCTCTTGATCAGAGGTCAGAATAATGATTTTTCTGAGCTCTAGCTGGAGTAGTAGGTAACTGGGGAAGAATTTCCTTGAATAAATGGCCAAAGCCTTAGACTCAGGACTTTTGGACCAGCCCCAGGTCTGTGAATGAGATCCCCATCAGCCTGTAGCTCCACAGCCCTTGGGGCCAGGATCTGGGACCTGCTCCGTGCAAGCTTAGGACAGGGTGACCTGAGGCTCTGCCCAACTTAAGGGAGCTAGAGGTGCAGAAGTTTATACACAGGTATATGAGAAAGAAATTATTCTAAAGAGGTTTCTGAGTTAGATAAACATTTCAAGAGTGTGTGTCCCTGCAAAAACCTCATATGGGCGGAAGCAACCAGCAGTGCAAAGCAGCTGTTCCTGGAGATGCCAATCCAACACCACCACAGTAACCTGGAGGCATCTCTCTGCCTATTAACTGCCCCAAGAAACATCAGTGTATCACATCCCCAGCCCAAGTTTTCTTTCCATATGAAACCACAGGATGAGGCAATGCAGAACAGGAGCAAGTAGAGCATCAAGTGAAAACATACTCCAACACCTCACCTTATCAGCCAACAAACTAGCAAAGATTCGCATGAGAAGCAATGTTTGAAAAAGACAAATGAAGGTGGTTGCTTTCATTTATGGGAGGAAAACCAGGAACCTCTGGGATTTGGGTTGAATGATGGTTTGCTTTTTCAGAAGAATACTGTAAATAAAGCAGCAACAAGGGATTTTCTTTCTGAGGGCTAGGGTGCAATAAGCTAAGAATGAAAATCCACTGCTCTCCTAGTGGGAAAGAAAGGGAAAATATGGTGAGAGACAGGATGCATCATGGTGCTATAACTTGGACACTTGCCTGGAACAGGAGGAACTGGATGGAAAGTGTTTCTATAGCTGAAGGACTATTAACATCATAACCATTGAACACTTCTTCCTTCATTATTAACATCAAAAGAAAGGGCAACTGTTTCATTTATTCTGCAAAGCTGGGTTTTAATGAGACCACTGGCTGATTCTTTGCAGCTGGACATGGGTGAAGCACCATTGGTGCTGACAGAAAGGAACACGCTGCTGAATTATAGGATTTTACTATTTCACAGACATTGAGGTATATAGCAGGACTTCTACCATCCCTGAACTATTGCACTAGCAAAGTAATGCAGTTATTTACTTAATATGTTAGTACATGCATGATAACTGCTATGTTGTACATGATCATATAGCCCCTACATCCCCTGGATTGGGCACTGTGCCCCATCTGCAACCTGACAAAAATTCTTGTCTCAGGAGAGCTGAATGCACTGATATCTGCAAAGGTTTTGTGTGTCCCCTTCTCTGGTCTTGAAACAGGTTATACTGCACTTTCCTGATGCAGTCAGTGAAGGTTGTTTGTGCATGCTTGCATAGCAAAGAAATTTTTCTGCTACTTGTCTCATATTTTGCATCTTTTTGCCATCCTTGTCTTCATACATTTGAATGCAGACTGTGGAGAATAGCAATATTAGAAAGCTAGCGTTAAATCACTGCCAAATAAAATGTCAACAGAAGGTATATGCATCACTTACATCCAATCGTATGCTGCCTGCTCAGCATCCGGCTGACATTATTTGGGATGCTGCCACAGAGAGCAATGGGAGTGCAGACTGCTTCTTGGTTTGCCTTCCTCCTTAGTCACTGGGATGACTGCTGTTGCAGAGTCCCTGGGTGTCCCATGTTTTCTGCAGAAGGGAAAGTCTGCCATTAGAGACTCAGTATGACCATTTTTCCCAAAGGGGGACTGGTGCTGGGAATGTAAATAAAACTCTGAAATGATACAAGCGAAGGAGAGTTCATCTGAGTTAACCAGCAACAATGAAGTGGTTTTATTGTCTCTGACTATTATAAACCTATCAGTCAACCAACCTATGCCATCTGAAGATGCTGCATCATTTGGATTTCCACTCCAGCTATTTTCTTCAGCTAGTTTCTTTTCTCTGTTAAATCTTCATGATTTCCTCCCAAGCACAAACAGCAAGTGAAGAAGGAGAAAAGGAGGATAAACTGGAAAAGCACAGGGAGAGGCCAGGGACTAGGGGATTGTCACTCGGAAAGCGTGTTCCTTCCATTGGACTGACACATTATAGGCACAGATCCCACATTCACTGGTGTAAGTGAAACCATCTGTGCCACAGATCTGCTCTGGAATTGGCCAGGGGGCCCTGACTGACCATCCTCAGCGATGCCCCTGGGGCATGTGCTATAGCTAAGCTTTAAAGAGAACAGATTAAAACAGTTTAAAGCAATAAATTTCCAAACATTCCTCATTCTTCAGGGGTCTAGAATGAAATTAAGGTTTTAATTCTATGAATGAAAAACAGGCAGGATGCGATGCACTCTGTGAACGCTCTTTGTTTGCAAATTCACAAGTATGTTTAAACTTATGGGGCTGCACCTCAGCTGGTGAAAATCTGGAAAACCCTCCTGGGCTGAGTGGATGTCTGCCAGCTGGAGACAGGCTCTCTTCCTCTACTGCTTTCTGCTTTTTTCATATCTACTCGTTGATCATCAGAGAACACACAACTAAAACATGGCAAAGAATCAAATCAAATTGTATCAAACATTAAATTACAACAAGAGAATGAACATTCTGGAGTGTGAACATATCAATGGATGAAATGAGTGGACAGGAGGATTATATTCCTTTAAATATAAAGGTCTGAGAAAATTTTTTCTGTTACCAAACTATTTTCATTGCTAACAGCCAGTTAAATAAATTTGTGTGACAGATACAATGAGTTTGTGTAATTATTTCTGGATTTCTTTTTTATTTTTTTGAGCAACATATAGTTATAAAAATGGTAAAAAAAAAACCCAAAAACATTTAAATATTCTTCTGAAAAGAGAACAGTTTTAAAAATCAGTGGAATGAGCCTTGTCACTCTCAAGCACCCTTCAAGAGAGTGACAAAATATGTAGGCCCATCCACATGCCTCTCTAGCAAATGTAGCATATGAAATAAAGCAAAGAACAATGCAAATTATCAGCAGACAATTTTGAAAAGTACAGATTTTTTTGGTGAAGTGTTTTAATTAAATTTAGGTAGACATTATCAAAGAAGAGTTGTGGGGTTTTTTGTCAAGTCACAGATGGGTGAGTGCTGGTAGATGGTGAAAAAAAATCTTTTGGCTCAGTATGAAAAGACCAAGCATTGTTTTCTAAATCCCACTTATCAATCAAGATTTAAATGATTTACCTCATTCTTCCTTCTCTTTGTGTTGTAAGAAAAATGACTGTAGACTCAGAAAACATCGATAAAGCTATAAAGATAAGTTAGACAAACAAGGAAGGAGTGAGGACATTTATATTTTTAAAATATTGCCTCTGTGATATGTGCCAGTGCATTCACAGGTCACGAATCCTGAGGCTGGACTGTCATCAGTGTGAAATATGCCGAAGTTCATCAGCCCTTGGCACGGCTCCGGTGCTCAGTCCCTGCTCTCCGGAGCCGGAGGGCTGCAGGTAGTGGCTGCAAGGCAGCATGCGGAGCTGCACCAGCTGCCTTTCAACAGAAAATTTTAGATGCTTGATGTTTCAGTCATAGCAGGCACTGGAAAGTCAGTTTTTTCTTCCCTGCATCCTTGATTGAGAGTATAAGGCTGCATCTGCAACTATTTCTGTTCATGGCAAGAGAGCAAAAATAAGAGGTCACTGAGGCAGGACTAAATCCATGTTTGCATCTGGTCCTTTTAGTGCCTCTTTCCAAGTTAAAAAACAGGCTTTCCTAGCATGACAGTTGGTTTTTGAGAGTAACCTGACCATTTTGAAGCTGCTCAGGCTTTTGCCCCAGGTGAGGAAGAAAGTCAGCCTGAGGGCTCTGCAGCATTATGCACCTGAGAAGCATTGGAACAGTAGGCTGAGCAGCACCAAAGCATCTTGTCACCTTCACACTGGTGATGGTTACTTTGCAGTCTGGCAAGCATTGAGCTCATGAGATGATCTCTTGGTGTTCCCCAGCACAGTAATCTCTGTCTATCCAGCCATTCCTCTATCTGTGGCCAAGCAGGCACCCAGCTCTGTCAACCATACCTTAAAACCACCCTTCAGGTCTCTTAGTGACACTTTAAACCTGGTATTGTTCTACCTCTCTCCTAAGCCACAAAAATTCAATGCTTCCTCTTGAATGTGCTCATCTGTGCCCGACCTTTGCTTTATCATCAACAAAAGGGAGAAAGAAACCACCTCATTAACACACACTCAGTAAGTAACCCTGGAACAGCTGAAAAACAACTCTGTGGCACAGAAAACAGCTCTATTCCTGATAAGGTGGCTGCCCTACTTTTATAGACTTATATTGCTTCATAAAACACCCCCTGAGCCTAGGGGATATTTAAACTCCAATGTCTTTCCCATTTTCTGGCCCAGTTTTAGTGATTTATTCCATTATGTACTTTTACATTAAACCTACTGGCAAATACAGCATGGAAACCTCTGTCTAATAACCTCTTTGGCTTCTTCCCTGGATTGCTCTGACTTAATCTCAGCTTTGTGCCTCCTTGACTTCATGTTTGCCTTTTCTGTCATCAGACAATGATCTCCACAGAGGAGGCTTTGCCATGCTTGTGCCCAGCTAATGCCATTCAGTTGGATCTTGACAGCATTACTGCAATGGCTTGCAAAAGCCAGCGGTCAGAACTCAGTCAAAGTGAAAGTATGCCAAAGTCCACAAAAAAATTATTCAGGTCTTATCCCTGAGGATAACCAAGTAACACTTAAACAAGACTAAAGCAGCATGTTCTACAAGAACACCTTAACAGAAAATGGCAAAAGGTTATATAAACCAAAGGAACATTTACATTAGGACGCAGACGCAAGAAAAGTACAATAAGCCATTGTTAGTTACAAATCGTCTTGAAAAGTACATGCCAGCCACGGACACTAATGGCACAGAGGTACTATGGCCTCATTCCCTGGTACAATAACCACAGTATCTCCAAGTCAGGAACATTTGCCTTCAGCCTATTCTTCTAGCCTGACAATTCAAAGAGTGACTTTCCAAACAGATCCAAATAATTGTGTTATTCTCTGGTAAACTACAATGGGACATTGAATCAATGAGGTGCTAGCTGTAGTCCAGAACAGATCCTTTAACCCTGAAATATTGGACTTGCAATAGCTTTGGTGACCTCGTGTGGAGCTAGTGGTACTGGCTGTACCTATGTTGTCCACAGATGAAGGGCAGCCCCTAGGTCCCTCTACCTCCCTGCCATCCACACAGACTCCAAAATGACAGCAATTGTATCACCGGATGCTGAGTAATTTGACCTCAAAAAAAGTAGGCAAAATGTGACTATGAGGCAAAACTGCCTTCCTATGTCTTATTATATATTCAGTTAAAACCATTCACATCTGAACCATTGTACTTGAGAAGTTGTGGTAGTCTGGCAAAGTTCCCACTGATTGGAAAAGAGGAAACATAACCCTCATTTTTAAAAAGGGAAATAAAGAGGACCGAGGGAACTACAGCCCAGTAAGTCTCACCTCTGTGCCCAGCAAGAACATGGAATGGATCCTCCTGGAAACTCTGCTAGGGCACACAGAAAATAAGGACATGATTGGTGACAGTTAACATGGCTTCACTAAGGGCAAATCCTGCCTGATGAATTTGGTAGCCTTCTATGGCAGGGTTACAGCATTGGTGTATAAGGGAAGAGGAACAGACATCATCTACCTGGACTTGTGCAAAGCATTTGACAGTCTCACATGACATCCTTGACCCTAAATTGGAGAGAAACGGATTTGATGAACGGACAACTCAGTGGATGAGGAACTGGCTGGCTGGTCACACTCAGAGAGTTGCAGTCGATGGCTTGATGGCCAAGTGCAGAGCAGTGATGAGTGGAGTCCCTCAGGAGTTGGCGTTGGGACCAGTGCTGTTTAACATCTTTGTTGGAGACATGGACAGTGCTATCAACTGCACCCTCAGCAAGCTCACTGAGGACACCAAGCTGTGCGGTGTAGCTGACACGCTGGAGGGAAGGGATGCCATCTAGAGGGACCTAGACAGGCAGCAGAGGTAGGCCTGTCTAAACCTCATGAAGTTAAACAAGGCCAAGCGTAAGGTCCTGCACATGGGTTGAGGCAATCCCAAGCACAAATCCAGGCTGGGCTGGAAATGAATTGAGAGCAGCCCTGCAGAAAAGAACTTGCGTATATTAGTAGATGGAAATCTAGGAGCCAGCAACGTGCACTTGCAGCCCAGAATGCCAACTGTGTCCTGGGCTACATCAAGAGAATTGTGGCCAGCAGGTCAAGGGAGACCTCACTTGCAGTGCTGTGTCAGCTCTATCCCCCAACATCAGGACACAGACCTGCTCCAGAGGAGGCTATGAAGATGGTCAGGGACAAGGAACACCTCCCTTATGAGGACAGGCTGAGAGAGTTGAGGTTGTTCAGCCTGGAGAACAGAAGGCTCGGGGGAGACCTTACAGCAGCCTTCCAGTACTTAAAGGGGGCTACAAGAAAGGTGGGGAGGACTCTTTGTCAAGGAGTGTAGTGACAGGGAGAGGGGCAACGGTTTTAAACTGAAAGAGGGCAGATTCAGACTAGATATAAGGAAGAAATTATTTACTGTGAGGGTGGTGAGACACTGTCACAGGTTTCCCAGAGAAGCTGCGGCTGCCCCCTCCCTGAAAGGGTTCAAGGCCAGGTTGGATGGGGCTTTGAACAACCTGGTCTAGTGGAAGGTGTCCCTGTCCATGGCAGGAAGGTTGGAACTAGACGGTCTTTGAGGTCCCTTCCAACCCAAACCATTCTATGATTCTATGATCCTTTTCCTTCCTGAATGGCTTTAGAAGGCAGACAGCTGCAGTGATGTACCAGGGCTTTCCCCTACCCCAGGGGTGATTTCTGCCCACCAGTCCTGGATAGTCTGTTGCACTAATAAGTAAAGATATTTTGTGAGTGGACACTTCTGCTGTCTGTGACCCTGAAGGGAGCTTGACATTCCCCTGCTGTAGATTATATCCTATAACAGCATTTGACAGTGAGAACAAATTCAGTGGAGACAGGCTGGGATCATCTTTCCTGACAGTGGCTGCTGCCTCTTCCATGGGACAGCCTGCACAAGCAGTGGAAACCAGTACAGGGGCACCTCTTGGGTAGGAAGCCAGTTTCCCTTTCTAGCCCACAGCAAGTAAGTGCTCTTCTTGAGAACCCACATCCTAGACATTTCCCTGTGGAGGAGGTAGACCATGCCCTTGAGGTGAATGTCTCCTTGCACTGATTATAAAGATGGAGTTCATGATCAGGTCATACAGAGATAATAATGGTTAGATGAGACTAATATCAACAAGGAAACTCTGAGAAGTAAAGAAGTGCCTGTGCGCTCCCAAGAGGAGGCTAGGCCCTCATCAGAGCAGGGATGACACTGACATATGGCAGGAAAAGATTTACCCATATTATCTGGCAGAGCAGAACATCAACAGAAAAATACATATGTACCAGTGGAAGTACTGTATCAGGGAGGATAAGATGCAAAAGGGATGAGACCTGGTATTAAGACAGAGAAATGTTGCCAAGTGAGTTTATTGAACAAGTGCTTCAGTAGCTAAGGAAATGAGACAAACTGAAGGAAAGTTGCTGGGGAAGATCAGCCCATGGGAAGTCACATGCAAGGGAGCTTGTCTTCCTGGGCTGGACTCCAGCACAGACTTAACATTCAGTCAGACTCATGAGGTTGAGAGTACTTCTGCTTTCCCTGGTGAGAAAAGGAGAGAGAAGCATTAGACATAGAGCCTATTCAGTGCTGAAGCCCTGTTCCTTGCTTCAGTGGCCCAAGTGTTTGCTTAATGTTGACTGGAGACAAAGAACAGTCTCAAAAGCCCAAATACTCCCTTTCATTATTATCAATAAAGGGAATATGAAAGGTTTCACACATTTGATACAATCCAGTTGGTTTGGTGAAGTACTTTCCACATGCCCTGATGAATTTGTGGGACAGATTACTTGCTGGTGAAAATGAGCAAAATACCTTTGAAGTTAACAAACAGGAGGTCATGTACAGATCACAGAAATGGGCTCTTTGTATTTTCCCTTAAAATGCAAAAAATCTCCTTGCACAAGTCATGGTGCACCAGAAATGTCCAGTATATGCCCATACGCAGTTAGACAAAAACTCATTATGAAAACAGCCCTGCATTTGTAAAAGGTACAGGAATTGATCATGAAAGGAAGGGTTTTACTTTTGTACGTACAGGTAAGCATTGCAGAAAGCACATCTGTTGCTGTATGTTTTGCCGTCAGAGCCACAGTGGGGCAAATATTCCAAGGTGCACACAGACTGTCCTTGGAAGCCCTTGCAATGATCCTGCATGCAGAATATAAACATGAGTCTCTGCCTGAGAGCAAATCATAGCCCCTCAGAATAATGAATGACACCCTATTGAGACATGAAACTGTCTGTAACATCATAATAACCAACTCAGAGTTTCCTTCTTGTAGCAGATGTGATCTTGTAATATTTCTGATCACTGCCACATCTTTTCCTGAACTGTTACAGAGTAATGCAATAGATGTTAGATGTTTTATGACCAGTGTGAAATTCCCAAGGGATCTCCTCAGGTCTGCACACCACTGCTCCCCCAGTTTGTAACCTAGAGCAGAGGGCAGCCCCCCAGGAGTGTTACAGACACTGGGCCTCACTCTGTTCCCATCACTTCCCACTCACTCTTGTAATATCTTCTTCACAGCGTCCATTCTTTCTTTTGCCAAGATTGGTCCGGTGCTCCCTGAAGGAAGAAGACATTGTTATTAGCCACAAACTTCCCCATTACAACCGCAGGGCAAGAATAAATCTCGCTCCCATGTAGTGCACAGAGGATTTTCAGATAAACTAGCTCAGCATTGCCTGCACAGCACTAACAAGACCATGCCCTTATCAACCAGACACATGTCTTCTGGGATAATGCTCTCTCCAGTTGATATATCCCACTTTGTGGGGCTCTGGGATCAAATGCCCATGTCAAGCACCAACCAGAACAAGCATGAAAATGAGGGTAGACAGGACCCACCCACCACAGGGTTTCAGAGAGCACCCTTGCACTCATGGATCCAGCCACCACCACTGAATCGCCCCAGGAGAAGGATGAGTACTTACAGGTTGTGGGCACACAGCGTACACTCGCTGGCGTAGGTGACACCATCGGTACCGCAGACGGGATCATAGATCATCGTGCAGGCCATCAACTGTCTGCCATCCTTCAGGGTGCTAGTTGGGTACTGGCTGCAGTTGATCTGGGGAACAAAGATGGCAAAAGCTCTGGCACAGGCTCTGCTCTGAGCAAGGATGCCCAGACACAACCACCCATGCTCATGCCTCTGCCTTTTAGGATCTGCCACAGGATGAATTATGGCTATGTATTAATTCATTATTCACGGAAAATGAGAAATTTCCTTTCATAACCTTATGCTAGAGAAGACTGAATCAAAGCTTGAAGGTAGACACTACTCTTCAGCTTTGTATTTATCATGATGCCCCTATACATTGCTGAATCTATTGGGATATTACAAAATGCAATTCAAAAATAATCTGCGAATCAAAATGGCATGATTTACGCACTTGCTGCAAGAGGGCCAACTGTGACCAAGGTGTTTTTCATGGCCCACAAGAATGGAGGGGAGATGTGCCGACAGGCCTTTTATTGCAACAGGATGGCTCCAAGTGTTGAAATCTGCCAGCAGGACTGACAGCAGTTGGAGCTGATTGACATCAGTTGAAGAACTGGCCTTGTGTTTTAGCACTCCCAGTTTCTCCAGTGTGGAATCTTCCTCCCTGATTTATGTATCTCACCCAGCCCAAGCAAAGAGCGTACTCAGGAAACAAAGGAATGACATTTCATAGTTTGTATAGAAATGAAATATCTGACTCAGGATGTTGACTTTTTCAAACACATGCTAATGGGATGGCTTTGTTCTTCTATTCCCCACCGAGTGTAAATAGTTTAGAGCTGGCCAAATATAGTTAATCTGGTATTTTTACAAGATTCATTGTTGGTATACATTAGATTACATTGCATTTACAAAAAAAAAAAAATCTTTGCAGAACATCCTTTTGTAAAACGCAAGCATCCAGAAGGCACCAGGTATCCTGGGTCCTCTGCGTCCCCTTCCCATATTGCCAAAACAGACTGTTAAGTTCCTGCAGAGGCTATGATAGGCTGCTGTGGGAAAGGGATTTCTTCTTGTAAAGCCTTAAATCATTTATACTACCTGTCTTGTAACTGATTCCTCACTTCTCCTCCCCTCTTTCTTTTCCTGACTGTGGGCAGGAAACTCACAATGTTCCTGTTGCCGAGAGGGTGATGCTCACCCGCAGAAGGAAGGACAGCACAAACTGTGACCCCCAGTGCAGGCTACACCACCAAAACCAACCAGCATTTATTCAAGTTATGCAAACAGCACCAGCTCTAGCTCTTATTTTCCTTCAGGTTTCACTTACTTGGGGAGGTTCCACTAGGCACCTTCCATCATGCCTTTTGGCAACACTGGTTCCAAATTCACTGGAAGAGAAAGCAGAATTAAAAATGCTCAACAAGTAACTCTGTGGGGTGCTCAGAGGGTGACTTCCAGAGCTTACATGTTATGGGCACACAGCACACAGTCATTGCTGTAGGTGACACCATCTGTCCCACAGATCTCGCGCAGGATGAAGGGGCAGGCTGCAATGGCTTCACCGGTTTTCGTATTGCTCAGGTATCTGCTGCAGTCAACCTGGGGAGATAAAATAACAATGTTGGGTCAGCTGCTGGGAGATGGAAGAGTGCCTTATCTGCAGTCTGTCCATTCTGATCCTCCAGATTTTAAAGGCTAAGTTTAGTCTTACATTAGAAATGAAGTAAGTAAGCGTAGCTGGGTTTGCTATTGTCTGCTAGCAGATGGAAGAAAGGAACACCTGGCCAAAAGGATTATTTTTTTAAAGTAGTATGTATGCAAGTTGTAGAACAAGCATTTAACCCCAGGAATCTGATTTAAAATGTTTGACATTAGGTCCAGTTTGATATAGCTAACTAAATCTGAGACTTTGTCTCAGCTTTTTCAAAACAGCAGCAAGAACTGTTTCACCAGCACCTGTTGCAAAAATATTTACAATATATAAAATTTAACAGTTCAAATATTTGAGGATAATAGACAAAGACCTATTGGAAGTCAGTCTACACTAACTAAGCATTACTGACACTTCACTGTCATTTTGCACAGTTTCTCCAATGCAGTGTCTCTTATTATCCATATATCCCATATGGTCCAAGAGCAATTTAACAATGTGTCTTTACTATAGAAAATATATTACAGTCCCCCAGGATGCAAGAAATTATTTTTGGTGCTTTAGAGCTGCTCTGCATAAGCAGAATAAATGCATTGAGATATTATCAGCACATATTGTTACTGTGCAGGATAATAAAGCTATTTTTGTATGCATACCTGAGAGCAGATTTCTCCTGACTGACCAGAGCATGAGGATTTTTTAACCTGCCTATCTAGTGCAATAGAAATCCTAGCACTGAACGAATACATGGACATCTAACGCAGCCTTCTATCTTCCTCTCCTACTATGCTAAAATGGGCTGCCTCTGATGATTTCTGTTCAGAGATCTGCAGGACTGAGACATTTTGTCTCTGAAGTCCTGGCCTGTTCCCATTCTCTCTTGCCCTCACATACAGCACATGGTCAGCAGCCGCTGTGAACAGCCAGGAAGAATGGCAGCACCAGCACGAGCCCCGTCCATCACCCCTCCATGCACCCGGGAGCACAGTGGGTGCACCGAGCCCCACCAGGGTCTGACTGGAGACTGGAGAGTAGGAGATGGCACTTATTTTATAGCTAGTTACACTTACAGGAATGCTTTCATCCTTGCATCTTCCTGTATAGTTTTTCTTAACGTGAGTCCCATGTTCTCTGAAAGGGAGAGGTTGGTGTTAGCATGCTCACCAGCTAAGCCCTGTGACACCCAGGTGCCACAGAAAGCAAACCAAACTCATAGACAATATATATATATATGATAAAGGAGGCATATGATTGCCTAATGAAGAAGCTTCTCCCAGTCATTAGCAAGCGTAATCCTAAGTGGTAACAGACCTATCAGGGCTCCTTACTGTGAGCTATGCAGCAGCACCATCCACTCTTTCCTCTGCCCAAATACCACAGCCCTCACAGCGTGCTCAGTCTGAGAGTTGGCTCTTCCACAGCTCCCTCCCGAGGAGCACAAACAGAGCATCAGGGGAGAAAATCAAGGTGGCAAGAGCTTCAGAAGGTTGAAAGAGAAATGGAAAGAGACGTATAGAGATGGTGATATCAAAAGAAAAGCTGTCTAGAACACTAACCATGGGTAGTCAGTCCAGAAGAGAGTTCTATGTACAGTACTTACAGGTTATGGGCACAGATGCCACATTCGTTGTCATAAGTAAATCCATCTGTGCCGCAGACAGGGAGCAGGATCCTTGGACAGCGCATCATGGCTTTACCACCCTTCATCACTCTTGATGAGTATTGACTGCAATCGATCTACAAAAAGCAGGAGTGTCAAACCTGGGGAAGTCCTTGTTCTCCGAGAAAAACCCCAGCGTAACCTCCTGCCATGTCTTTTATTCTGGGATGTTAAGACAACACTAGTGTTATGTATCAGGTCTCTCAAAACCAGGCTGAGTCAGTTCTGCATGAATCCTCTCATGCACAGAGGGAACTGCACAGTCTGTGAGATGCCAAATCACTAGGGTAAGTAGCTCAGTCAATCCCAAATGGAAGATATGCCAGAAAAGGGGGAAAAACCAAACCAAAACAAAAAATACACACACACAAAAACATAATCCCCTTTTCCTTCTGCAGTATAGATATAAACAAAACACCAAATAGTTATGGAATTTGGGCTTTGCTGACAACACATTTGAAGAGCATCCTCAAAGGAAAATCTAAGCCCTAACTAACAGACTTCCACATTTATGTGTTGGCATATCCTGGACACCAGCTCTGGGACTTCTCAGCTGATACACTCAGATCAAAACTGCAGGTGTACTCCATGTACCAGACTATATCCCCGCCCCAAAGGTAGGCATAGGTGTGAGCTTGTAATGAAAAATCTGTGCCTAGCTCCCATGCAGCCCCTCTGCCAGGGCTGTGCAGGCAAGGAGAGCCCAGAGGACACCTGCCTAAGGACAGGTAGGATTTGTAGGCATCCCCATCACGAGGGGCTGACAAGACTTAATAGACATGTGGAGAAAGCCAGGCTTCAGGCCAGCTCACTTTCAGAGTAGATGTAGCCTCAGGGAACTTTTCAGTTGATACAGCTAATGGGAGGATTATGTTGAATACTTACCTCAGAAGTCTCCTGTCTGCATTTTCCTTTATGCTTCTTGCTAACATGGGTCCTGTGTTCTCTGGAAGAGGAAAACAATAAAGTTGAGGAACTAAATGCTTAACCTCTTGGTCACAGACACATGCAAAATGAAGCAAACCACAGCTTCAGACTCTATAAGTGTATCAGAATAGCTACATTACTTTACATTGCTCATTAACAAGCTCATCACATCTTCTCATAACATGCAATTTAAAGCAGTATTCTGAATTATTCCTTCCTCTGCTTAGTCACTGCCCAGCCCACAGACTAACCAAAGGAGCTGCCATCTGACTCTTCAAGGTTTCCCCTCATCATCACAAAGAAGGTATCAGAAGGAAACTCAAAGTAAATCCAAACCCAATCCAGTTTTTAAGAGACTTGAAGAAATAGGCATAAGCAGAAATTCAGAAGGATTGTTCTCAGGACTGAAAAGTGTTGCTGGTTACTTAGGAGTGCTCTACATATGGCACCTACCCATTGTGGGCACAGATCCCACATTCATTATCATATGTAATGTCATCTGTGCCGCAAACAGGATCCAGGATCCTTGGACAGGATACTAATACTGTGCCATCTTCAGTGGTTTTTGTTGGGTACTTACTGCAGTCAATCTGTCAAAATAAGGAGAATTAGCTCTGATGGAGCCCTTGCTACATGAGAAACGTTGATGCAAAACCTTTTATTCTGTATCCCAGCCTCCATTGTTTCTGCAACAGGACAAATCCCTGATACACTGAAACTAAATCTTCAATCAGAAATAAGCTTTCTGAATATTATCCTAGTTCTCTAGGAGTCAAAAAAAGGTCTATCTTGGAGAAGGGATCCTTCAGGCAGAAGAACATGTACAAAAATTTGGGCCTAATCTCATTTAAAAAAAAAAAAAAAAAAAGAGTCTTGAATTTAGTGGGAAATATTTTTCACTAGCTGGAAATCTAACTAACACTGTTTTGGTTTGTGTTGGTTTTCCCCCCACTTCTCCAGCTCTGTGATTACTTACAACTTCAGACTCCCTGTAGTTAAGCACAAGGTTTGGAAGGATAGAGAAAAAATGGTTGTCTATCAGTTGGAGAATGGACTTTCTACATCCAAGAATTTTGGTGCCGAAATATAGAAGCTTCTCTTCCTGAGGCAACATACTGTTGGTCTCATACAAATATACTATAAACTATAGTCTAAATAGGTATGCTTAGTACTCTTATGAGTCTCACCATTTCTGTGAAAGCAACCAGTATGGGAGTTTGGAATCCCTGTTGCAAAAGGTGGAAACACTTGTGGTCTCCAGGGAAAAAACTGACTACCTGCACAGCATGTTGGCAAGCGAAATCTTTGGCCTCCCCTTCCCCTAGAAGCAAAAGCCAGCTGAGTACATAAGGCACTTTTAACTTTTATTGCACTTACAATTTCCTGCTTGCACTCTCCATCATATGTTTTGGTAATGTTGGCGTGATGTTCCCTGAAAGAAAGAATTACTTTGGTTAGGAAGCCTTGAGAATAACTTTTCCCATTACACTCTAGGTACTGGACCAAGAAAGCAAGGCCCCACCTGCCTTGTGGGACACGACAACTGATTGACTTGTCTGAATGTGCCCCGCAGATGGTAGCAGCAAATGTACAGTATTTCCATATCACATGTTAATTAAGTGTTAGGAGCAATTAGGTGTTACAAGTAACACTTTGATCTGTTCATGGCTCTGCTCTGGGTTGTTCTCTGGTTCTTTTGTGATTCCCCTCATAAGCACAGACAGAAAATGGGGAAGAAAACTCAGGTTGGCTAGAGAATTACAAGCAGTCAGCTCCAAAGAGACACAGAGACACCTGCCTTAAGAAAGAAGCACTTCTGTAAAACACTAGTCTGAGAGCCTTAACTATCGTTAATTATCCAGAAGGGTGTTCTATGCACAAGACTTACGCGTTGTAAGCACAGATCCCACATTCATTGTCATAAGTGAAGCCATCTGAGCCACAGACTGGTTTCAGTATCCTTGGGCAAGCTACCATGACATGACCATCTACTCCAGATTTTTGGTATGTACTGCAGTCAATCTGTAAAAATAACAGGAATAGAGAAAAAAACAAAAAACAAAACAAAACAAAAAAAAAACCCACACATTTTCGATATAAAGATAAAACATCATATGTGGTCTGCTTATTCTCCCTTAGCCTTTGGGGACAAATCCAGCATCAAACTAACTCCACTATCAAAAGTAGAAGCCAGAGTACACTCTGTAGGAATTCTGTCCTGCTGAAAAAATAAAACAACATAACAAGAAGGACTGTGATTTGGATTTTGTGAGGTCCTTTCATAAGATCCTGCTGGAGCTATCCAGGTGGTGATACCCAACCTTCAACCAACATAACATTTTCACTTTATTCCCGGTTACAGAAGCTAGAAGTCTAAATTAGAAAAACACAGAGACATAGTACCAGGTGGCCCATAAATACTCTCTTGGCTTTAGTTATCATCAGATTTTAATTCCCTTTGGGCTGTGCAGACCAGCTATGGAAGTTTTTATTTCCTCTTGTGTGGTGTTTCAACTGTCCCTTTTTATAGCCAGTTGAAGTCTTCCATGGACTTTGTCTTACCATAATAGATATCGTCTCGCATTCTCCTTCATGTGCCTTCTCCACACTGGCCCTGTGTTGCCTAGAAGAAAGCAGATCTGTGTCAGGGATTGCAGAGAGCAGCATCGCCTCTAGGCCAGCAGTGTCAGCACCCAGCTGCTGTCTCACATGCCCCTCTGCCCAGTCCCTCTCTGGGGGATGAAGCTGCCGCGTTTTCCGGGAACCCCTTGCCCCGTGGCTTCTTCTAGGCTTCCAGCAATACTCACCTGTTGTAGTAGCAGATCCCACACTCATTGCTGTACGTGGTGCCATCGGTGCCACAGACTGGTTTCAAATCCCTTGGGCAAGCTACCCAGACTGTCCCATCCTTGCCAATGCCACTGGAATACTGGCTGCAATCAACCTGCAAAAGCAGCACAGAATCAGTCCCAACGTTGAAAGAAACCCCCATGCAGCCTCCCACCACCACAGCCACAGTGCCTGCAGCTCCTGCTGGGAGGTAAATTAGAGGTATTATTTTGAATCTGCTCAAGCAGTCAGGAGGAGTGAATCTTCCTTACAGAAGTTTCTGACTCTGCCTTCCTGCCAGGGTCCAGGGGAAGCACAGCACGGAGGAAGGATTGTTGTGCATGAGATGGTGCCTAATGAAGGCATCTGGTAATTGGGAGCCTGGCTGTACACCAAAGCACCTCAGCTCAAAATCTGATCATTTCAAATCATGCTGCAGTCTCTGGTGAGTTACAGGATTCTCATAACTGCGTGGGAAGAACCTGCAGACAAATCCATCGCACAGACCCTGCTGTTTTCCTCTCTATGACATAGGTATAGAAAACCTATGCAAGGAACACAGTTCTGTGGGTCTTACTGTATTGAAAATAATTATCAGAATCACAGTCCTTGATGTTTTCAAGCATATAATCTTAAAACAGTACTCCTCGTGAGAAGGTAACCTACTACCTTTGGCTTGGAGTAGCTAAATTATGTCTAAGAATCATCATAATAGGATTGTATAATTACATTTCACTTTCTTAATTTTATTTAATGAACTGAAAAAATTGTAAAAAAGTGGAGAATTTTTTACTTTCTCATGAAATTTGCAATATCATTCAATCATGCACTGACAAATATTATTTGAACAGCTAAGCTTTCATTAGATTTAATCCACTTGCTCATCAGGTAATTATATAGTTTCTACTTTACCAGAAACCTGGAATAGAACAGAATAAATAGATCTGTAGCTCACCTCAACTCCAAAGGCAATACCTGAAAAAAAAAATGGAGACAGAAAAGAAAAAAAAAAAATTATAAGCAGAGAAGATAAATATAAGTCTTTTCACAAAACTGTTAAATTCAGTGACAGTTATTGACTAGTTTATTTGGTTTAGAAAAATATGGAGTTTTATATTATGACAGTAAATGGTCATAGGATGTATTAAAAGTTACTAAATAAAGTTTCACTGCACTTTTGAGAGGAGATAAAACTGGGGAGAGCACACAGATTAATCCACCCTCAGATTTTACAGGGAAGTAATACAGGTACTTTCAACTCAACACTCTTGGATTTTAACCTCTCCTAAGAGAATTTATATTCAACTTTCAAAAGTTTGGACATGCATGTTTAAGATGACTGTCGACCGCTGGCACTGTCCATCTCCATACACATCCTTTTCAGTTAACAGAAGCAGCGCAGTAAACTTACAGAACAATCCTAGAGGTTAAAGTTCACATTTATACTGCTTACATGGTCAACGATGCAATTCCTAACAGTTTTACTTTGCCCTTATACGCAATACTCCCAAGTCCAATCTCCTGCCCTGCACTAGGACCGCTCCTTCAGCGGTTTGCTCCTACAAACCAAGAAGATTAAAATAGTCATCTGTACGAGGTTTGCCAAAATCTCAGTCTTGAAGTCTACTCTCTCAGGAAGAGTATTTCTTCATGGAATAAGGCTCTTGCCCACATTGCAAGACCCAAATACTTTTACTGAAATGAAAACTCAGCTCTGATTCAGCGAGATCAATCTTTGCAATATCCCAGGAAATACTCACCTAAGGAGCAGCAAAGGGCTAGAGCCGCCTTCACGAAAACCGCTGTTATCTTCATGGCAGTCAGAGGTACCGCTCCAGCGCAGCCTGCTAGCTCTCTGTGCAGGAGAGGAAGATTGCAGGTAGGAGCAGGAATATATAGCATGCCACAATATCAAGTGGTCCCACCTTATTAGGTAATGTTCCAAGTCTGTCATCAACATTCAAAGCCAAAAATATATTTACCCAGCTCTAGCTTTCTAGCTAATTATTGACACAGGCATGTATTCCAGGAAGGGGCCTTTTGCATGGCTCAACGGAATCATGGAGTGTGCCAGGACCCCTCTCCTCCTGGATAGATCTGCCCCAGCCCTGGGCTGCCCCTCGCACAGCAGTGGCACATTGTAGGCTCACATCTACCTTATAACTGGCTAAATGCAATTGGAACTTTCTCCTCCTCCTCCTCTATAGTCTTCAACCGAGCTGCCAGCTAATAGCCAAAACCCTCATTATTTAACCTCAGAGCATGATTTTGTACTCTTCACTGCTGTATTTCATCCCAGTTTGAGCCCAGGCAGTTTCAGCCCAGAAGGTCACCCTGTTCTCTGCAGGAGAAATCCTGCCCTTCTTCTGCTTTAAAAAACTCAGCAGTGTTCTCCATGTGCCAACTTTTTCTGTACTACAGCAAGGAGTGAAAATATTAAGTTTGGTCCTAAAATCCATCCTTTTGGCTGTTTGCTGATGACTCCCATGGTACCCTCTGCTCATCTGCTAACATCTTCCCCATGGCCGGTTCCTGACCGACCTCTCCAAGCCTAAGTGACACCATCCCACAGGGCAGCAGACCAAATGCTTTTGATGTCTGCACAGACTAGATGTACTGTATTTCCTTTATCTAGGAAGTCAGCCAACTCTGCAAAGATTGATATTAGCCTACGCATGGTTTCCTTCCTGAAAATTCACTATGTACATTATTTCTTTACACTTTATATCTTTAGTTTTAGTTTTCTTTAAATTTATCCTGAAGGTTTGACCACTATTAAAGTAGCAGAACTTGGACTGGTCCTGAACACTTTTTTTTGTCTTTTATTTAAGGAGATTTTTGGCAAATATTTGCATTATTCTCAATCCCAGTCTTCTCAATTGGGATCCTAAATTCTCCAAATTTCTCACTAACTTTTAATCTTGCAAATTCTGTACTTGGTAATCAAAATCCTTACTTGCAGATCTATTTTTGACATAATTTAAACAGAGTGAGCTTGTGTTGAATCATCCCAGTTTTATTTTCTAAGAGAAGGATATCTCCAACATCTTTCTCACTTGAAAAGCAGATCTACAACAACACAATTTTGGGGATTACCTAATGGAAAATTCTATTTGCTTTCATACCCAGGAGTTCTTCTAATATTAGTAGTTTTCAGTATGCATCTGCAAAGCTAAAGTCTCCCCAAATGCCAGCATTTCCAACTACATTAATCTCTAGTGACATTAGGGAGATCTCTATTCACATATCTTGTTTTCATTCCTTCCACCTGATATTCAGCCCCAATGTCTCCTGCCCTGCCCCCTTATCTCAGTTCCATAAAGTATCAAAGAGTCCAGACCTTGGGACCAATGCAGGCCTCAACTACAAGGACCTCTGTTCATCCTGATTACAATATCCATCTCTCAGGGTTTATTCCAGCCAAGACAATCATCAATTAATGCTTCCTGGCAGAGGCAAATGTATCTTGACAACTTAATTGCCAGACTCTGTAAAAGCTGTCATGGTCAAGCGAATTCCTGCCAATGTCCACAGAAATGACACCTGAGTCTTATTGGAAAGGAGATATTATTTGCAAACCAAATCTGCAGTTAAAATAGATTGATTTAGCATGTTCTGCCAAGAACAGAGTATTTCTCTTCCAACTAAGTTATTAAATTTGAGGAGTAGTTTGCAATAGGAGACAGATTAAAGGGGCAGAACATCAAATACTTGTCAAGGATCTAGAGAAGGAACTGAGATCTAGAAAACACCACCACAACTATAGCACGTGTGCTGTCCCCTGCGTCAGCCAAGGCACATAGTGCTCTGCTTTGGGCTCCTGCCCTATGCATGAGGAAAATCCATGCTGTGACCTTACAAGCGAGTCACCGTCAGCAGAGCTTTTTCCACCAGCAGTTTGTCCAACAGGACAGAGCATTTCAGGACCAGAGCAGAAGGTACAGCACATCCCACCCAGGCTGGACAGGGAGCTGCAGGAAAGGGACACCTTTGGTTGTCTCCATGTGTTTACATCCTTGTGTTTGTGCAACCCCCGCTTGCAGTCATCCTGTGTTGATGTCTACCTGTTTATTTTCCCTTCACTGAGCATGCCAGGAAAGGAATGCTCTGCAAAGCTCACCTGGCCAAGCAGCCCTGGACATGAGCATTCTGCTGCCTCTCCAGTAGTCCCAGCTGTGAATCATCTGTCGCTATTTCTGCAGAATTTCACTGACACAGGCCAAGAAAGGAAGTGAATCCTTTGAGACCAGAAGGCAGCAAAGTCAACTCACCTGTTTTTTCAGAAATATATGCAGAAATTGCCCATGCTTCCCATCCACAAACCAAGGGTGTGTTTGATACTACACCTAACACTAAATTGTTTCTTTTAGGACCTTCAGCATCAAGAATCTGGATTTGTAATTTGCAAATAGTTGCATTTACATCTTACTTTTTTCAGCGAAGAGTTTGCATGGAGTTGCTCATACTTTCATGCAGGGGAAAGCATTGAAAGTTTTTGTGTTGCAGTCCTGGTGGGAGGGCTGAGCAGTAGGAGAGCTCCTGCATCAGACTGGAGCAGGGAAATGTCAAGGAAATGGCCAGGACAAGAGCTTCTTGTAGTAGGGAGACCCTTGCAGGAAAAGACAGATGTGCTAACAGCTGCCATACAGGAGCCCATTCACCAGTCCCCAGGATACAAGCAGATGGGCCATGGAGCAGAAGTTGTGACAATGAAAGCAAATAATGCTGAACCCCCTAGGTACCCATACTCAGCAGTTGCTTGGTGGAATTGAGTGTCACAGAGATGTAGAGAGCCAGAAAAGAGAGCTCTGCAACAGGCCCAGAGGGCCTTCAATGCACAAATGCCATCAGGCTCTCCATGTCGCAACTCATGGACTTCTTGAAACAGCAAATACCCTTAAACTGCAGGATTTCTGGCACTCTCTGCTGCAGCAGACTGCGAGAGGTCCCCTGGCCAGAGCACACCATGCTGCCATGCAGGGGTCCTCCCTCCACGGTGGCTGCGAGAGCAGCAGGGAGGCAGTTTGCAGAGCTACCAGACTCCAAATGGACAGACTACAGAGGATTGAGAAACAATACGGTGAGTTCAAGGTCTGCTGAGGCACCTGCCAGAGTCAACAGTCCTCACTATATAGCAAGACCAGGATTTGCACACCCTGAAAAATTGCATAAGTACCTGACACCTTTTATGTAAAAAAAAACAAGAAACTCAAGGTCCGTGCAGAAAGTAGTTTAGCTAAAAACCCAACTGTGTTCAGAGACCTGGAGACCAAAGTTGTCAATTCATAATGCTAGTTCTACAAAGCCTCAGAAACTGCTGTGAGCTACATGGAGTCTGTGGATATTGGCAAGAGACACCCTTAATAAAGTGTAATTTACAGCAAACTGGAGAATCCCCAGAGTGCTGGTACCTTTCCAGTTTTGTAGAGAACTGTTTTGTCCTCATTACCGTGTGAGAGGGCAACACAAAGGGTAACCAAGAGCAAACGTAAAATAAAGGGTAATAAATCCCCAATACCTCTTGAGCCTTTGCCATCTTCTCCCCAGGAACCTCATAGAAATAATGCGTGACATCACTCACATGGAGTCCCACAGGAGTTTTGCCACACACAGCATTGCTCAGGACAGATATCATCGGCGAGCCCTCGGAGTGACCTGGAAAAAGAGGGGGAAGCAAAAAACCACCAACCAGGCAGGCTGCCGAGAGCAGAAAAGAGTTAGCATTACTACATCTGGTAGGGCTGCTAACAACGGCACAGGCGGTTTTAGCAAGTCACAGTCCTGCACCCTCTCAACAGGTTGGTTTGGAATCTCATTAATGAACCCTGATCACCAGCTGCAATTTTTGTGGATGATAATGTCTGCTGGCAGCAGGAAAAATTCAGAAGGTGCTCAAATACTGAGAGAAGAGGTTACTGGGGCACCATCTTCATCAGTTCATTGCTTTTGGAGCACAGTTAATGCAGGTTTTATGGATGATTATTTCAAAACCTAAATTCTTGAAATCACTACAAAACATAAGAGCTTTAAAGTGCACTGATTTTCATTTGCAAGAATTTCTTTTAAGCCACAAATTGTGCACTGCTTTTATGAAATCATGTAGATGTCCCTGCACATGACTTTAGTTGGAATCAGTGAACAGACTCATCAGAGAACATTTTTACTGTCTGATATGCATCATTCTCAGGCTGCATAAATAATATTCAAGAATTTACTTGTTTCATCACAGCCTGAAGGCAGACAAACTTTGCACCCCCCAAAACACCTAACCAGGACAAAACTGGTAACTTTCACCCTGCACGACTGTACTTGATGAGGGGATTTTCCACATAGAAATAGGCAGCCATAATTTATTTTGAAATCATAGTGTTTGCTCACATTAAAAAAATCAGCTTACAAAATATTAACAACTACTTATGTCAGAATCTGCTGATAACAAAATCGGGTTTTATTATTATCAGCAGAAATAAAATGTGATGCATGCGTAAGCATTCTGAGAGTTTAAAATCAATTCTCATTAACTGCAGTAGAAAAAAAAGGATTTGATAACTTAATTGAAAGAAAATCTATGTCTTTGGTAGGTGAGAAATTAATTGGTATTAGGTAAAATCCTGCCAAAATCTGGAAGAAAATCACTCCAGTCTTATCTGCAACAGAAAGTGTTTACAGATCAGGTCACAGCTAAAATGGACTCAAACACTGTGTGTGTTCACTCAAGGTCTTCTGGAAATGTCCTGCAATAAAGTTTATTCAAATAAAGAACATATTTGCTTTAAGTAACAACTATAAAGAAAGTACAGGAAGTGCGTGCAAACCGCCAGCAGATTTCTGTTAACCCCCCATCACAGACTCCTGTTCTGCAAATCCCACCCCAGTCT